TCTTTTTTCTTATCTTTCTCTACTCCTTCTCTCTTATTCTATATATAATATGAAATGTTTTGCTTTTTAGATTTCTATTCATGTCTCTCATGTTGAATTTTAAATATTTAATTTTTAAGCATTAATCTTTAATAATCATGTCACAGTTTAAGCTTTTAATCCCAAGTGTTTGTCGGCGGTTCGACGGAATTTAGTTTGCAGCTGAATAAAAACTAATGTGATTGCAATTCGCCGCTTTTTTCTATGAATATTCATTCATTCTTTCGACGAAGGCGATAACGAAATTCACTTGGTTCAGTTTTTCATTTCGACATCCCTGAGGTCGGGGGCCGATCAAAAAGCGACATGTTTAGATGGAGTTTAATGAAAATTTATTTGAATATAAATTAAGAAAGAATACGTTTGGATTTTGGTGCAAAAAAGTGTTGTGAACTCTCTTCCCTGGGCCATGATGTAGTACTATTTTCAGTCGTAGAAGAAGTTTTTAAATATTATTTACGATAAAGAAAAGTTTTCTCAAAAGCGTTATAATAAAAATTGAAGAATTGAAATTCTTTTACCGTAAAACCATAGATTGGGAATGTTGGCGGTATGCGGAACTTCAGACGGCTCCACTCTTTCAATCTAATAAAGGCCGCAAGAGATTCGTTTCAAGGCATTAACTACATAGAACATCAATTTATATTTATTATATATAGGCGAGAGGACGTCGTAACGTTGAGCTAGTAAGTCGTTGCTTGTTTACGAACAAATTTACTTTAGATCAGATTAGCATTGATCGCATCTTAGATTGCTATTGATGTTTTCAATTGTGTGTATTGTGGAGCTGTATGTTAAAATTGCTAAATAACCATGAATAGATATCCATAACTGGTCTTAAAAGTCGAAATGATTTAGTGATGTCCAATACGTGTATGTGGAAATGATGAGAGTGAACAAATTTCATATGAAATTTTCTCAAGCCTGTGAAGATAAATTCGAATTCAACTAGCAAAGACACCTACCATTTCAATATTTTTGATAATTCAGATATATATTGGATTCGGAAGCCTACACCCGCCATACTCAGAAATGTAGAATAAGTTTGTAAACGGTTCTAGGGTGTTGTGCAAGATACAAGTGCGAAGGAGAGATTTGAATGTTTTTTAGCTCATTCGAGAAGTATTTTCATACCGATTCACCTGAAGTCGATGAGTATTGTGACATTTTTTAATTTGGCCGCACTAGCTTCTCAAATTTGGCTGCTTTTCAAAATCCATATCAAATTTCAAAAAATTGTTAAAAATATTCCCTATAAGTAGAATTTGAATTTGTTTAGCTTGTTTGAAAGGTATTTTCATATATATTCATGACGTGCCCATAAAAATATTTTACGTTCTTCAATATGGCCGGAGTACGCTTCCAAATCCAACTATATCTTAATTTTATATATTTAACAGAGCTGTCTTATGGGGTTTACTGATGCCTTTTAAAGGATATGGTATGTGTCCTGGCTAATTATATTCGAATTTATCTTCACGCCCATAACTTTTCCTTATTACTGTTAACAGGTAAAGAAACCAATCATTTTTCCTACATCGTTCTAAATCGGTAAAACTTCAAAAACTTTGATTAATTGTGGTTTCAAAGTTCAGAGGTGATATTAAAATCTAAAGTTCAAATATTAGGATACTCGGAATAGTCCGCCCATTGTTACGAGGAAACTGTGCATACACAGGTTGGGGCATATCGACTGTAGAGAGCTGCCAGAGTGAAAGAAAAAATATTTGATATCAAGTGAAAGGAACATTTCATCATCCCGCGATCGAATGTTTTAAAACAAGATGGCGATGAGTGGGAACATACTGGACTCAAGCTGAATGTATCTTCTTGACTGTCGTTTTTTTCCTGTCTTTTTTCGTTTGCTTTCTTATTTCTCTTCATTTTATTAAAGTTTCATGTGTGCGTGCGCCTCTGTCGAGCGAAGTAGTGAAAGTTTTGCCGATCAACTGTACTCTTGCGTTATGTTATTTTCGCGGTAGGGAAAGTCGAGGTCAGCAATTAAAAATTGTAGTATAAATCTGCTTAATTATAAGTTGACTAAATTGGCGCTTATTTCTATTGCTTTTATTCTCTTCGGTCTAAGTCGAATGTAACTCCCTTCGATTCTTTTATTTGCCTTCACTGTTCTTACGAGTAATGCCGATAATGCAAAGAGAGAGAGAGAGAGAGAGGCGTGTGCTCACTTAGTAATAGTGTGCGTAATAAAACTTGTCTGCTGTCAATATTGTAAATTGTGTTTCATCGGATGGTTTTGTGAGAGCTTTATGGTACGACACCGTTCCAGCTCAATTTTCAACCCATAAAGAGATATCATCTGCAATTTTCTTTATTTTGTAATCTATTCCCGGCTTTTGTATGTGTTTTTGAATCGCTAATAAAGTTTTTCGCTACACATGTTATTAAGTTTGTTAGAGTTTTCCGGTTCGGTTCTCCGTAAAATATGATTAAAAAGAGAAACATTTCTTTCATTGAGAACAACAAACTATCTCTCGATTCTAAGATATGAAAATAAATTTCATCTATCGGTAGTCCTTCCAGTTATGCTTATATTCACTGTACATTTCAAAAGTCAAGTGTCCCTCTGATTGCTGCAGTGCAGTAGACGGCCGCGTAAGAGCAGCAAATTTCGGACTGATTGTTCATTAAGTAATTTATCGTACTAGGTTCCCATCATCGTTCGAACTAGATGTTTTCCCCTTCTAGGGTCATACTTTGACGTTACACATTTTAACGAATTCTTTTTTGAACAAACTTTTCCTCTCGTGTACTCCGACGAACGGGCAAAAAATTCCAATTATTTTGCTTTTAACGGTAGCACAGTGGTTGTTACTGTACTTGCGTCTGAATAAACTTGAAATTGGTGTCCTGAATTTTACGACCAAAACAAGAATGATCAACACAGATTGGACGGACAAATAGGCAAACGGACACTCTTAAATAGATTGGAAATTTTGGTACTGACCAAGAGGTGTCTGAAGCTTACTTTTGCATGTTGTGAATTTTTTGGCAAAATGATTATACCTCCATCCTTCGCTGTCCGATAAGTAACGTGTAATTTACACCAGTGCTCGACTTCGCTTAATGAACAATGCCGATTATCCACCTGTTTAATTCGGGAGTAGAATGACTTGCTTCAAATTGTTTCACACATTTTCCAAGACCGGTTGTCGTATGTTCGGCTGAATATTGAAGATTATCGATTTCAAGAGATTGTCGGTGGGGGACAATTTGTATTTGCATGATTTTGACTTGGAATGCCTTCAAACAATGAGGCCCATGTGACAGCATAAAATAAACTGTGATGAGGGTCATTAATACGTCATTTACGGTTCCTATGTATTATATCAGATATCATATTATATAATCAAAAGACAACTGAACGCGCAAATTTCTGATACACTTGTGTTGTCTCCTTCTCCACTTTTTACAGTGATGCAATTTTTCAAATTAATATTCACTTAAAAAAGCACACAATCGTATACAGTGTAGTTTTGCAAACATTTGATACAGAGCCGTGTGACATCATATTAAGAATGAAGGGGCCAGAAATTAAATTGTTGCTAACTAGTAATAAACCTATTACTTTTATCGATAACAGTAAACAGGAAAAGTCGCGGATATATTTCTCTGCCTCTTACCTTACTTTTGAATAGCTTCTTGGCTACGCCATATAGTACATCTCGTTCCCTCCGATATTAAATCGGATTTTGAGAAATTTCTTAGCCGTTATTGTTTATGGTTTAGCTCTCTCTGCTTATAGCATTTACATGGCGTTGGCTAAAGGGGACGGGAAAGTAAATGAGGGCAAATCAAACATCATTAGCTGGTGAATGCATATGCATGTAGTGCGTGTGCAAGTGCCAGTGCCAGAGCATTTTTCCATCATTTAAATCGAAATAGAGTGTGACAAGCATGATTTAGCAATTATTTCGTACAATCAGTCATTCAGGCATAAATTAAGCGAACAATTACTGACATCGCACGCATACGTATGCGAATGCCTGATAACATCACATCGCTCGTCGCTCATCTTTACTCGACCGTACATTGCAATAGTTTGGCCCATTTGCGAAACTTGTTGAGTGCTTGTTGAATAGGCGTTAGGGGTTGAAGTGTTCATTTGCGGGCAGTTCGAAAGATGTGAAAACAAAATTTGCGTCACTCGTACATCAATACAAATAAAAATAATATTTGAGTTTTAATTTCTAAACTGTTGTAAAACAGATATCGCAGTAATGCTAATGAAGGTGGCGATCATGGTGGTAGGGTGGTGGAGGTCTTAGGTTATCATCAGCCTTTGCTAATGTATTTTCTTTAAGGGAATAACTTAAACGACCTAAATCGAATTTAATTATACATAAATACAAACGTTATCATGCCATAGGTTAGATACAGCCAGGATCGCATAAGTATAGGCATCGACTTATTAATATATAAATATGAAGATTTATTAACAAAAATATATATAAAAAAAAAATGTATTTTCACTTAAAAATATAAAAATGTGAAATATAGTACGTAATTGAATTGATAAAAAAATTAATATAACTTAACATAAAATTAGAATAAAATATCTTATCTTAAAAAGAACTAAGTCAAACTGTAATGAGGGATAAAAATTGACTATTGTCAACTAAATGAAAATACCTCGAATGGTATGTTATGGTAAAACAAGAACGAAAAACAAATTCGATTAGGACCGAATCCTCTATACCCGTCACCATTACCGTAAAAAAGACAAAACAAGTAAGAGAATAATATTTGTGTCCTCTAAAAATATGGAGTGTCTGTCACTGCTGCTGATTTTTTCTGTTTTCAAAATAAAAGTTTTTCTCGCATAGGCGTGTGGATGTCGTAGGCATGTCCTTTGAAAAGTTTAGATCAATTCCAAGTTTTTGTGGAAATTTGTAAGCGATATCTTTACTTTTGGCTAACGGGCGAGGATTTACCACAGATACCAACTACACAATTGGGCTGACGGACAGACTTAAGTCGATTCAGAATTTGATTCTGATCAAAAATATATAGGCTTTGTAGGATCTCTGATGCTTACTTCTATCAAATTTGAAGTTAATATTTTCATTTTTGCGACCAAGCGAGTGCCAACAACAACAAACATCAGACAGATGAACGGACATGGTTTAATCAATTCAGAAATTCACGCTGATCAAGAGCATATATAATTTATAGGGCCTTTGAAAATTCCTTTTGGTTTTTACGTACATTTTGAAAAAAAGACAGGATAAGGTAATCATCGTTTATTAATAAAAATGGTTTAAGTAAATTTTTCAAAAGTCGGATCGGTTTCGAAAATGTACGTGAATGTGCTACGGATACGGTCTTGTATTTCAATATTTTTTTTTTTTTTTGGTACTTTTCTCCATTCGTTTCGTCTTTTCAACGTATTTTAAAGGGCTCAAAGTAATAATTAAGTCACCGTAAAAAAAACATCCAAAAATTGTAGAGTGCTTTCCTCGTTTAAGATGACTTCACTTTTCTGTCTAAGATAGCTAATAGAGTATTTCGTCTCAGTATCACATTTAAATGATTTTATTTGATTCATGAGCTTGTGACAAAAAAAGAAACAATAACATGCTAACTGAAAATTTATCACAGCTGAGCATTTTTCTGTTAATATTTTACATATATATGTGGTATGGTAAGGTGTCAGTGTTTATTAATGTTATTACTATGCTTAAATTTATTGAAAAAAAAATGATCGAAGCGTATCGTGGAAGAGCGACGACGATTTTCCTTTATAGAGAAAAAGAATAATTTTCGGTTAATGAACGAACTCTGGAATCACTTTACTTTAGATGAAACGTATGAGATGCTTTAACATTTTAAGAAAATACTCATTAGTATCTTTTACGTATATAAAGGGTATAGGAACCGATTTTCGTTGCATATCGCTTTCACTAATTATAAAAACTTATGAGTTCTATATGAGAAAATGTTACACAAATTTTGGCGTAACGCGAATAACGCCTTGTAAGTGCCTGAACCCACATTGACTGAATATTGAATCGTTGCCTCCTAGGGGTGCACTGCTAGATCTACTAAAAATGTATGATAAATCATTGGATAAAAGTGATTGCAAGTCCACGGACGAGCAATGTTTATTTTTTGCGTACCTCGCACGAAAATTCGTGCAACTGTAATCATCGCGAAATGTCCCGGAGGTAAATAGTGCGAACGGGGACTTTTCAATACTCGCAGTAGAATTTATTGACACAATAAACGCATGTCGTGCTTTCCTTTTCAGTCCGCAGACTTATGCGAAAAGAAGGTTACCTCCCCTTCTCGCAAGGGAGCTTCCAATGAAAAAATGTCAAACTCCAAGACTCTCTCTGTAGTTTGACAAATGCAGAATTGATATGGATGTACTCATGTGTACTCGGTGTATCTTTCCGCCTTTTTATGTCTGCGGTATGTGAGGTAAACATTCTCTTGATCGCAAGAATATCGGTTTCAAACGCAACATAACCTACAGAGACGAGAATAAAAACATCCTATGGCATATTCTGTTTAGTTTTTTTTCTAGTTTTCCTTAAGATAAAGTCGTAAGTAATTTTCTTACTTGTTAGTTTTTTACCAATTGAAATGGAATTTTGGTCCAGCAAATTCAATAAATGAATAATTACATCCTGAAGTTGAATATAAAGCTTCTTCAATGTTAACACCTAGCAACTTACCAGCTGAATATATTATATAAGTAGAGCGCGAGATGGATAAATAAAGTTTTTTTTTTAATTATTTCAATATTTTAAAATTTGATTTAACTCAGTGTAAAGTGAATTTGAGAAAAAAAATAAATCCCCCCCCCCCCCCCTTTTTATTTAGTGATTTAAGAGGGTGGGGGGGGGGGCTACTTATATGCCCATGGCTGTAGATTTAAATAAAAGAAAATTCTTATTTCACATTATTGCTAACAGATATTTTAAATGTTTTCGTATCTTTACAGAATGACAACAAGAACAACAATAAATCATTTTTGAAATCTTTATGAGAATTCCAGAGTATACCGAAAAGTTTGTAATTTAATATGTGTTTAGCTACTTTAGTATGAGGAGGGGGAAAATATTTAAAATGAAATCGCATACGCAATTATTGTAACAGTTTCGCAATTGTGTGCATATCAGACACATTAATAAGAAAACACACATATTTATATATATGGATATATATATATGTAATTTTACATGTGGTAAATGTTGCGAATTTCTATGAAAAAGTCAGAAGACTCGCTGTTGGTACAATGTTACGACCGACTTCGTGTGGCCCTGGGCCACCATCACAAGATACTGTACACGAATTTAGCATAAATTTTAAAAACAATAAAACCAATGAAAAACCTATACAATATCAACAACAATACCAGCAACAAGAACAACAACAACAACAACAACATCAACAACTTTTTTTTTTTTTTTTTTTAGCAACGCCAACGACCATTCAAGCTAAACAGCCAAAGAACATTAACAAATGCCGTAAAAATAACAATAACAATAATAACAACAAGAAGAGCAAAAGGAATGGAAAATTCAGTTTAAAAAGTTTAGAATATTCGAGCCAACTGTTGAAAACTATGGTAGCAAATTATTCCAATACAATGTGTAATATAAAAAAAACTATATTAAAAATAGAAAGACTAATGTGTACAACAACGGCGACATCAACAGCAGCAGCCGCAGCAGCAGCAGCAGCCAGAAAGTGGCATCTAATGTTTTTAATACTTTCTGCCCTTTTGATTCAAACACCATATCAGGCAGCAGCTGAGAAAAGCAAGCATTGTAAGTATTTGCAAAAAAAAAAAAAAAAAAAAATGAATCAGAATTACACACACACGCACACACACACACAAGCACGCGCGCGCGCAACACCCAACGCCCACAAAACGCAAACATAAACACAAACACCTACAAATAAACAAAAATAAATGCATTTAAAACACATGTATGTATACATGTTTCTCGAACGATTTCTATTCATATGGCACATGTGTGTGTATGTAAATGCATGCATAAAATTATAATATATGAGTAACGAATAATGATGAACAAGAGCAAAATGACTACACGACAAATAACGAAGAATGGCTAATAAATGAATCGATTAAGGAATCGAAAACATAAGCGATAAACTGATAATATTGATAGTGCCTTCCAACCTTCGATTGGAACGTTACATACATGCGGTGCATAACTCTTTTCTTCTCATTTACTATAACAGAATACTCGACGATAATCGACGAAAGATGACACATTCATGACAACTTGCGCTTAAATTGTCGGTAAACACTGTTCACTGAGTTGCAATATTACACTAAAGCTGATTAGAAAGAAGTTTATGAAGAAATTGCATAAAAAATCGATCGATTAGTTAGCTAACACTAATCTTATCAAGCAATGACTTTGCGTCAGTCACTTTTACATTTTCAACTTTAAATTTTTCGAAAATTTTCTACTCCATTATTTTAAAAACAAAACTTAATACTAAAAGGAAAAAATATTTTTGTAAATTTGAAAATAGTTCTTGTGTCAGTCACGAGATCCCTTATCTGGGATAGAAAAGAGTCAATTGAGGACAAAATTTGAGACAGGGACTAAGGTGCTGCTATACACCTTTGCAGAACAGTAGCAAACCCGTAAAGTAATCGTTACGAAATTAAATTCTATGCAGAATTGTAATGCTTGCGCAAAGTCTTACGCAAACTTAGAGCCATCGTTTTCGAATTTGGTAAAAACATGGGAAATTCTCGCACACAAGTTGATGTTGTTAACAAGCTAAATTGATCAAATGCCACCCTAACGGCGCAACATAAACTGAGAATACCGTTTCTTTCCGAGTTGTTTGATTGTTATTTATAAACTACGAGGGATACGCGATAAAAATTTCCACATTAAAATAATCAGTCACATTCATCCAATGTCGCTTGTTTTGTTTAAAGTAATCGCAGAGTCGAATATAATTTGGTGTCTGGTTTCATTATTCAAGATTTCTTTTGAACGCATAAACTATAAACAACGTCCTATTCCACATATAGTATTCCTTCTTGACTGTCAGCCTGTGCGGCTTATTAGGATGAGAATTTGTTATAAAGACATGAGCACTAGCATGGGATTAGGACGCCAAAAAACATCCATTCAATGAAAGGCAAAGCCAAAGCCAATACATTAAATACATTGGGCATGATAGGAAATACTTGTGTAGTGCATTTCTCTTATTTCCGAAAAAGTGACGATGCTGCTTACTCTCACACAAATATTTCATTTTGTAAAGAGTTTGGTCAGTTCGTCTGCCTTTCTCTGTCTTGTTGATCGAATCAAAGCTTTCATTGACCTTGACTATGCAGAACCGAAATTAAATCATTGACCATTCAAATGTTTCATAACATTTACGGAATCGTGCAATGATCAGCAAAATTGCACGTTCGGGTTCAAAGGGATTTAGTAGAGTAAATTTTCGATTTGATCCTTGATGCCATCAAAACAAAAATATATTTAAAGTAATTGAATGCACAACAATGTTGGTTGAAAATGGTCAGAATAGAAATGGATGGAATGGCTGCTTCGACAATCCTAGCGGTTGATGTATGCCGAAAGAAGATTATATTCTTTATGTTGTGTTGGCGAAATCGCACACAAACTATCAAAAACCGCCCAGTGTTTGCAAATGAAAATTATGTTCGGCAATGCCATCACTGCTTAATGCTTTGATTATTTAATAATCGTTAGCGGACCGCGGTTAGGGCGCAATGTTCTAATGGGATATGCTATAAATCGGAACGACTTCACCAAAATACCCATAAACGTAATATTTACTTGTTTTTTTTTTTTTTTTTTTTTTTTTTTTTATGTTTCATTAGCTATTAAGGGTGCGAGCATGGTGTTGGTCAGAAAAGACTATAAATACGAAATGGTGGTAGGTAAGGGGAAGTTGTGAAGAAGCGTAGCTGAAACATGCCTTAAGCCTAATATGGATGTTGTCTTCTTGGCAACATCCCTATAATCATTTTCAAGTATGTAAAGTTGAAAAGTCATAATAATTTGCTAATGTTATTTTCTCGGTGCGAACATAAGTATTTTTTTTTTTTTTAGGCTTTTCCTTGGGAGGATGTTCTCATAAAAATGAGGAAAAAAAATTTATGAATTTATGAATTATGCCACAAAATTTTACATTGCAGTCGGAAGTTATTTTCAGTAATTTCCTTGATGGCGCATACATGCCCTAACGAACCGACGAACGACCGAACGAATATATATATATATATTTACAAACATATTTATATATATATATATATGTATAAGAAAAATTTATCTATTTAACTAAGGAAAATAACCGAAATTGTACCGTTCGCACTTCAAACTCTCAGGAGACATTTTAAGACAAACCGCAAGAAAGAGTTTTGTGGTTTATTTTATGACCGTTTTTATCAAAATTTTGAATTTTTTTTCTTTTTCCTTGTCTTTACCAAAAAAACACTTCCTTTTCATTTCATATCTACGAACATGCATACAGATGGTTAGTTAAGTGCGGAAAAAATATATTATACGTAAGTGAATGTATTCATGTATATGTACATGTAAATGGGCATAGGCGCTTGTGTGCGAATGGGTGTGCATATGATTGCTCAAGCATTTATATATATATATATTTATATATATATATATATCTACGATGGTTGTTGGTTATAATCAAAAGAAAATTTTCTGTGCACTACAAAAGTTTTGTAATTAATTTCAAATAAAATTATATGTGGGTGACACAATCATATTTACAGACACGCATAGCAATGTACATGCACTTGTAAGAGTTTTTCTCCCTTTTTGCTGTTTTCCGTCTTGGTCTGCTCCTCTCTTTCTCTTTTCTTCTACTACTTCATTCATGTGTTTCTCATATAACTTTCTCACATCCAACTACTGCTTGTCTTGTTCTACTTCAAGTGCACACTTTTGCTTCAGCTTACTCAAGTTACTATGCCTTCTTTTTTCTTTTTTCTGTTTTTTTTTTTTTTTTTTGTTTTCTATTCTTTTATTATTATGATTTTTATTATTATTATTATTATTATTATTACTATTTCCTGGAAAAATTCGTGCAATAAGAATTCTGATGCCGTTCATTGTTCGGTTCCTTTGTTGCTTTCTTCACGAACATTTTTCTTGTCACATAGAAGAAGGAAAATGTTTAAACTTTAATTAACACAAACACATACACACACAGAGAATGTTGACTATTCTGAACACTAACTTGGCATTTTGGTCATTTCATTCGTAAGATGTAGAAATAAGTATAATCTACGGAATATAAGACATTCGTGATCGCATGGTTGGGCCTTAATCAAAGGCAACAAATTATATAGATAGTCCCATATTTTGTTCAAAACCCAAATCAGAAGGAATAACAGTAGCAGCACTGTTAATTAGCAGTCATTTAACAGTTTGCTCCTTCATTCTCATTATTTGTATGGTCAAAGGTTCTGTTAATACTTTCTTGATATGACTTCTCATTCTCTCAAAACAGAAGCGTACAAAAATTTTGCGCTACGGTATACATATAAATGAAGAATTCGAAATATGATGTTTTGCGAAATGCTTAGGGACATATTTTTTCTAATATTAAAAATAATTTTTTTTTTTAGTTTATTATGTCCATCTATATCTAGTTTAATTATCCTATTTATATATTTATTAAATTTATTTGCTTACACATATTTTGTCCATATCTGTTTATATGATATGAGCACAATATTGCGAATGCGAGAGAATGAATGAAGAAACTGTGAAATGTTTGCTAATTAACAGCGTTACCACTGTTATGAGTTAACAGAAGCGCACAAAACGTCCTTAATACTCTCCTAGTTTGAATGTTGAAAAAAATTTATAACTTTCTATATGTTTCGTTATCTCTGGTCCTAATACGGTCTGGAATGTTTCTCTCCTTAGAAAATTGTTGTTCTACAAGTGAAGTGCTCATAAAAGAAAACAGAAAACAAAATGAATCTTGACTCAACTTGATGCAAATTTGTAAAATTTTAACGCCAACCATAATAAATATTACAGCAATATTTGTCATTATGAAGGTGAACGAGTGACAGGCGAAATTGTGTTGCGATCGTCAATTAAAACAGCATTAAAACGATTTTCGTCCATATATTCCCTATGTAATTGATATTCAATTATTCGCCTAAAGCCGTATTGTGTTAACGTCAGCCTTAACATTATATACATAGATGCCCCTTATATAACACGGTACTTATTAAACACAGTTTCGATACAACAATACAACAATAAAATTCGCAATCATAATAATCACGTTTTGATATAACCCGAAATGTAAAGATCGAATATTTACGAAAATTAATTTTGTGATCGTCATTACTAATTTTATACCCTACACCGCTTGTGATACAAGGTATATTAAGTTAGTGCAGACGCATGTGACATACAGATGGCGCTTAAAATAGGCCCACCTTTTCTTATACCGATCGATTCAGAATCATCATTTCAATTGATCTAGGCCTGTTCGTCCGTCTGTCCCTCTGATGTCTGTTCGTGGTAATTTTTGTTCAAGTTACCGGTTGCAATTTTCGAGGTATTTTGATAAAATTTGCTATAGTGACGTGTTTTGTTCTAAAGACGAACGCTATTGACAACGGTTTGCACCGGTGCACTTTTCCGACCACTCCCCCCAAAAAAAAAAAATCGAAATTTTTAAAATTTCTCGGCAAAAGTGACTAAAGAGTTGTATTTCGGCTTTCTAAATTCATATGAAAACATTGGACCAGTTCGGG